ACATGTTCTACGCAAGGAACGTATGATAATAGGTCCGTGCCAAAAACGTTGTTTTGTAAATGCATGACAACGTTTAGGCGGCTTATTATAAACATTTTATGATTGAGATTATTATTAAATAAATACCTAAACATAATTAGGGATTTGAGATTTTCGCGACGACAAGTCCGAAGATGGCTGTCTTCCGGGTTGTTATGTTCCCTGAATTATACTTTCATTCATACATCCCGTACTCCAGGTGTGTCTTATAAAATATGTGGATGCATAATTCGCATTATTCATTAAGGCTTTGACCGGGATGTTCTTTTGTTAAATCTTACGTGGTACCGCCTGATTCGACTTCTAATGGTTAAGTGAAGTGTTTTCTTCGCGGTACGGTCTGGATTCGTAAATATTATGAAGACGAGCTTCGGCTTCAAAGGGTTAACCAGCTGATTTTCGTAATGGTGAGGTGAAGTGTTTTCTTCGCGGTACGGTCTGGATTCGTAAATAATATTTACACGATCTTCGGCTTCAAAGGGTTAACCAGCTGATTTTCGTAATGGTGAGGCGTAGTGTTTTCTTCGCGGTACGGACTGAATTCATAAATAATATTCAGACGATCTTCGGCTTCAAAGGGTTAATAATATAAAAAATATATATACATACGTACATACATAGTGACTTTAACACTAGATTCGTTCAAATAATATTGTACCAGACATCCAGTTGATTTGATTAAAATCTAGTATCTGCATTTCTCTCTGACTTTCTTCATTCCCTCGCTGAACTCGTCCTTGTAATTGAACTGGCTCTAATTCTCGTAGCGAAGCCTTTTCGTGTTTTAAATCTGGTTTTCCAGGAAGCAATTGTCCGCTTATTACTTCGAGTCGTCCACGACATTTGATTGACATCGCAGAAACCACATCTGCAAAGAAAATTTTTATTAAAATATTTTTTGTGGTTTTTCGGTCAGTCTTTCCAGACGTATTGATATTTCTCCATCTCCCTCCATTCGCCAAATCCCTAACATTTATTGTGGCGCTAGGAATTTTCCGTGATTATCGTAATTACGGATTAATAAGGTCTTCATCAGTTCAAGTTACAAGGATTACAGCTGTTACACCATTTCGTCAAAATTTTGCGGCATCTTTTGTTTCATTTGAGGAAACGTTTTTGCCGTCTGTTTCTTCTCGCGTACTCCCTCATTTTCGGGCCTATATAAACACATAAGCATGGCTATTACTGTATATAATTTTAGTATGCCTAAGGGTTTACTTTGTAATTTCCCTAGTAATGCGCCTTTAATAATTTGTACAGACGCGTTGAGATGTCTTTATTTTTTTTATTTCGCCGCCCCAGTCTATGGTCTTGTAGATAATTACCAAAAAATCTGAGGAACATGCCGTCTCCATCTTCAGGTACCGTAACCCAGAAAACCATAATGAACGTCTTCAACGCCTTGAGAACCTGAAGTACATACGTAACACCTTCTGCGTCGCATGACATAAAATGCGAGGTTGCTTTTGTATGATGGTGTCAAAAGGATCGTGGCCTGTTTAAGCAAATACGTCATTTACGTTCCACAGCGTTTGCTGGGAGAGTCTCAAGGAAAATCATGAAAGTATGTTCTAGCACCACAGTTTCCGGGAATGAAAGTGTTTTTGTGTTGGATGGTAATGCATTTTGTTACAGAATTGTGTTTCCAAATCTCAAAAAGTACGAAGTCTATAGAATTTCTTTGCAATTTAAATAAAATGTTGAGACTTGTTTACCGGCGACTGACAAGGCGACTGCCTGACTTCAGACTCCGGAAGATCCCACCGTAGGCGTCACCTTAGCGTCGTTGAGATTTCTTGTTAATATTTCCGCATCCCACAAACAGTCGAGCGTGACGGGCATTGGCCAGAGTATACACTATATATGAGTAGGCGTACAGCCTCCGGAGAGAGCAGGCCTAAATGACGAATTGAATCGCGTTCCATGTACTGAGTCGAATTCGTGTTTCAAATGCAGTAACCTGGAAATAAGCCGAATGTTTCCGGCCACGGACTCCGGCATACGATTTCGATTTGCCGTTCTTCAACTTTTTAAAGCCTAATGGCAAATATCCGTTTTGTCCACAGAGTGTATTTATTGGTTCCATATGATTATCGGTGTGATCAGCTGTTATTTCCCTGAATATAATTAGTTGGGTAAATGTTGTGGGTTTTCTTTGAGGTAAGGACCGGATATTTAACTATTTCTGGGACGAACTTGGGATACAAAGGGTTGAAAATAAATGTCAACAGAGTTTCCCTGGGTGTGATCTACTGTCCTGAGTTTTTAAAATTCTACTCACTCTATTTACATAAACTGATAGAAACGTCCCTTGGAATTTCTCGCGTCTTTAATGTTGACATGGTTTAGTTGTTATCAATCTGTAGTATCACGTTCAAATTTCGATTATCGATTTGTATACCTTTACTCTACAGAACCGTGCTACAGAAGTGACGTTACTTTTAATATTTAAAATGTTTATGATATTGCGATACAGTCATTTACATTCAGTTAAGTTAAAGTCAATGATCTTTAGTCGTCTACAACTAGATGGATTCTCACACAACTACAATAACAACCAGTACCAGTTCATCGACTTCGATGTTCAATCACTTCCGGTACAAAACCATAATTGCAAAGCTAATCGCATTGCACGGAGTCCTAATTATATTCTTTGTGGATAATTAATTTTTTACGATTTCGAAACATGTTTAAGATAAAAGTGATAGATTATTTATTTGGTGTATTTAAGGACGCTTTTTAAGTAGCTCAGACTACGTAGCGTCGAGATTATTTATCGTAGTTATCTTGTTAACAGCATGTCGTTCCAGGTTGGCTTGCTATGTCCTTGAAAATGCGTTCGCCATCTTGTTTTCAACAATCATATTCTTTTTCGCCCTTAATACGTGGTTTCATTTCTGCAATTTATCATTTTATATGTATACATATCTCCTAGTTAACAGTTATTACATTATTTATATAATGCCTTTATCTAATTATACAGTGTGTTCCACCTAACTCTACGATCTTAAATAACATTCTCATTTTAAACATACATGAAAATTTTTAAAAAAAAAATGTACACAGTTTGTAATTGGGTGTAAATTGAGCGATAATATATTAATTACGAAATCATCGTTATGAAGTTATTAAGGTTACCTTATGATTTGAAATGAACCCTTTTTTTTATTTTTGAGCCAAAATTACAGCCATATTTGAGAGGAGCTCACACAACAGATTCAGTCACTCAAAGTATGTACCCTTTTTACACTGAAAATTGTCAGGTTCCTACAAACGTTATGGTAATAACTGTTCAAAATGGTAGCCATTGTCATGGCATTTCTCCTGCTGTGGTTTTTGATGAACTTTATCGTCTGTTGGTCCCAAGAGAAATAAAGACGAAAGTGTTGAATCTGGCGAACGTGATGGGCACCCAACAGGTCCACCGCGTCCGATCCAATGATCGAGAAAGTGTCCTTGAAACTTTTTTGAGACAGTTATGTCGAACACGTGGCATTTATAAGCTCGTTCCCAACTCAGAGTTTGGAAGAGGGCGGACATTAGAGCGCCATGTCTTTCTGTATGTCCGCTTTTATCAAGTCGATGACAACTGAACGAATTTTTTAAACAGACTGGGTCGTTTTATTAAGATTTGTCGACATTTCAGAATTTTCTTTTTAAATCCAGCGCTGTACATGAAGACCTTTTGCGTATGCATTTCTGAGCGAGGAGAATCTCTGGCCAGACACGTGACCTCGAAATCGTAAGGGGAATCCCCGACTGTGACTTATCCATGAATGACAAAATTTAGCTATAACTATTCAGAATCCTCGGTATTCGTTTCTGTAACTGGTTTTCAGCAGTCCTTACTTAAGAACGGTACAATCCAGATGTAGAATGGAAAGGGTTTATCAGTAGATAATTTATTTATATACTGAAGGCAGTATTAGTGTAAATTAAAAAAACAATAATTTTATAAAAACCTCAAGAGGAATCAAATGTAATTAAAAGAAAATAAATTCTAGTGACCTGTAATTTTAATATCACCTTCCCCCCAAAAAACCTACCAACTAAAATAATATCAAAATGGAAGACTGCAAATAGCAGATATTAAATTTTTGAGAGCAGTTGGTGATCTTACACTAACCCATAAGACAAGAAATAATTGTTATAATCCATATTAAAATTAAAAGTATTAATGAAATAGTTGAAGAACAGAAGCGGGGGGGGGGGGGGGGGGGGGGGTTGGCGGATTTCGTAATTACGAAATCAGTGACTGAATATGAACACCGCGGAGGACGGGGCGACCAAGGAAAATATGAAGAGATAATTGGAGACGTCGCAGACGCTCTGACCTTTATTTGAGGAAGAAGAATTCGGATGATCCACCGCGTTTCGAAAATTATTGATCGCGAATTTTAATTGCTAATAATATCACAGAAAAGCCTGTCTCTGGAATCGGACCTGGGTCATTTTAATTTTTGATTTGTCTTCATTGCTTGTTTCCAAGAGACTCAACATTGTGCGTAGATATCTCTTCGAAAGTTACCGCCAGAGATAGCAACGAGCACTTGATTTCGTGGAACATAGACCTTGAGATGCTAATAGTCGCTGAAGTCAGAAAGCGATTCCTCGCATCTACGAAACCCAGAGGTTCATTACCGTGTTGACAAAAATCCGCCACTTGTTCTAATTAATCCGGTCAGCTCCTTCGTAAATATTTTTTAGATCAATTTTAATATTACCCTACCATCTACGCCAAATGTCTTCTTCCCTTCAGATTTTGAAACTAAAACTATGTATGCATTTATGATCCCTCATGCGTGCTACATGTCCCGCCGATCTCATCCTCCTTCAGAAGGTCCTTGCACTGAATTGTATGGATTGGGTGCCTTCATACACAGTATCAATGTACAAGTTGACACTTAACAGTTTGCCTATAGTTACTTATGTCCTTTTTGACTGGTGTTTCTTGCCTGCAGCTCCTGTTGGTAGCCGTGCTGGCTTCGCTGGCAACAGCTCAAAAGTACCCAGAGCAGTACCAAGTGCATGACAATGGCGACTCGAAATCAGCAGCAGGAGCTCCGTCAGGTGACTCCGATTACAGCAAATATTTTGCCTCAGAGACTTCGCCTGGGGGTCAGACTTCTGGCGCCACGCCTGCTGATGAATCTGGCTTTGTTCGCCCATTAGACTTTTCAGCTCTCTTCGGAGTTACCAATGCTGGGTTTGGTGGCGCGTCTGCGGGTTCATCTAAAATATTCCGTCCTGCAAACTCAGATTTAAACGCTTTCAATTTGCCACTCTCGAACTCAGCAAGCGTTTTCCCTGCAGAATTAGAAGGCAGTGCTACTACAAAGAACAGTGACAGTGGATTCACTAGCCCAAATGTGAAGTTCCAGTCCCTCTTTGATGCTTCTGGTTCCGCGTCAGAGGTTGGTTTCCGTCCGCAAGATTTCCTTAAGCCCGCAGAAGGCGAAAAGTCATCAGAGGAAAGCTCTCAAGTGGCCCTTTCAGACTTCTACTCGCCGTCTTTTGCGAAGTTGGACGCCGAATACAGTCCTCGCCCAGGGCCTCACTATTCTCACCACGCTGTGCCCGCAGCTGCTGAACAGGTTCCTAGTAAACCAAAGTACCGTGTTCCAGCTGGATCAGAAGGTGAAGACAGACCCGCGTATCCCGCTGCATCGTCGAAGGATACTTACGACGAGAAGCAAAGTTACAAGGCATCCCCCACGGAGGATTACACTTTTAACCCCACTTACAAACCTAAAAAGTCAGAATACGAAGACGGAAAGTCTAGCTATGCCACGTCTCCAGAGAAGTATTCTTATAGACCTGTTTACAGTTCTCCGACCCCAGATCGTACGTCTTCCAGCGAGGCCGTGAAGTCCACTTACCGTCCTTCAGAATATTACGGTGGTAAGACGAGTTATCGTTCCTCTCCTTCGGAACCTCAAAAGAGAACCAAGCCGATCTATTCGTCGTCGGCGCCCGTCGACATTTATGGAAACCCTACTTCCTACCTCCCAGCATCTACAGAGCAACGTGAGGAAAAGCCACGCTATTCATCCGAGGCAGATTCGGGGGTTATCTACGGCAAAGGTCTGGCACCCCCTTTCAAGACACTGCCGTCAGAACCACACCAGGGCAAGTCCAGTTATCCTGCGCCGTACCCCACAGATATATACAACGATAAATATTTAGCAAAGCCGTCCCCATCAGCTCAGTCAAAAATTTATAGCAGCACAACGAAGCCAAGTGTTTCGGCAACAGAAGGGAGCCCGAGTAACCAGGAAGAGTCTTACGAAGAGGAATCCGGACCCCCAGAGTACGCTCCTTCAGGTACAGCCACTGACAAGAAAAAGTGTAAAAAGATAGAGAAGAGACTCACTGCTGATGACGTCGCGAAAGGAAGATTCCGTCGCGATGCTATGACCTGCTACGAATGTGAAGATCCAAAGACGGGAGGTACCTTCGAGCAGTGTTCTTACACGTCAGATCCGAACTCGAAGTCGTACTTTGTCGGACACGCTCAGAAATACAGCACGAACTCTGGTAGCAAACCAACAACCTACCGCTATCGCAGGTACCTCAGAAATGATCCATTTGGGCTGGACGATAAACAGGAGGAATTAGTTACAGCGGAATCTCATTCTAGGGTCGCTCGCCAAGATTACGGATATGAATTCGCCGCCTCTGATAACGGTGATAAAGGTGATTATCGCTTTGGGCCAGAATACTTCACGAGCAGCAGTGATGATTACACTGAATACAAACCATCAGGAACATCAATAGACGAGAAAAATTGTAAGAAAACAACTAAGGATACTATGACTTGTATGGTATGCAAAGATCCCAAGACTGGTGGCTCGTATGAGCAGTGTTCTTACAGCGCGAAACCTAAGGAAAACAACTATTTTGTGGCTCATGAAACGTCCTTCAACTCAAAAAACAAGAAACCGTACACCGAGAAACGCACTGAGTACGAAGGCGAGCCTCATTCTCGGCACATCCGACAAGAACCACCACAGGGGATTAAGAGGGAGAAATCGAAAAAGATTGCAGGAAAGAGGAAAGTTAATGACAAGTACGACATCCCTTATGAATATTCCGCCAGCACATTAGCTAGACGTGAGGCTAAGGACGAAAAGGGTTCTGGAGTAGGCCTGGATCCATTCTTGTACGGTGAACCCGAGCCTTATAAACCAGAAACCGCAGAGAAGATCGCAGAACAAACGGAGCAGCACGAGTCTTATTTTCCAGGCGGTAAGTCTTACGACGAATACTTCCGACATCTCTTCCCCGAATTACACGACGGTGGAAAGCAAAGCGCTAGCAGTGACTCCGAGACCTACGAGTACCCTTCTTCAGCCAACACGAACGAGAAAAGTGCGTCACCTGGGTACGAATACAAGTCTACTCTCCCGGAATACTTCACCGACAACGAGCAGAAAAAGGATCTCGAGAAAGTTCTAGGAGAATTCACCCAGAAAGACCGATCTGCATGCAAGAAAGTGCTCAAGGATAAGATGACTTGTTATCAATGCGTCGATAGCAAGGGGATGCAGCACGAGGAATGTATGTTCGTGGCGGCGTCTGAGCCCAAGAGTTCTCATCTGGCCTATCACGAAGTTAAAGAATACAGGTTAGTTCCTCCACAGGGTTTGTCTGACGGCAAAGGATCTGCCTCGTCGTCTCTACCAGTGGCTTCTGACTCCGTATCCTCTTCGTCGACTGACATTACCAAGACTAGTGACAAATCTTCAACTTCTAAAGACAAAACCACAGAAACTGTTGCGACAACTATAACCCCAAAACCCAAACGGAAAACTTTCTTTAAGAAGGTGTCTTCAACTTCTACTGCGTCAACTCCAGTCGCAGACAACAAGTATGGGGAAACTTCTAAAGTTGAGAATCTCAAAACGATGCAGAAATCTCCCGCAGTAGCCGTCAAATTGACGCGCAGATCTTCCAAAACGTCGGTCCAAACAACTACCACGACTCTTACAACACCCGACCCACCTCCAAGAAAACGAAACATATCCAAAAAAGACGTAAATTCTGATTTATTACCAGCAGCTAGTGAGAATAGTGAAAAGAAGGTCCCGAAGGCCAATGTCGTTCCTCCAGAGCCAGAACTGTCAGCCTCTGACCTAAGTCCTGATGGATATTACAGCGCGGAGACCAAGACAAGATTTGACCCAGTACTAAAAGTCACTCTGCCGGAGTACATGTTGACGCGTTCCGAACACGAAGCCATCTTTGACGAGGTGATGGCGTCTGGACGCAGACGCTGAGACAGCACAGACGCAGACTGCGACAGTACCAAGTACGTGACAGTCTTTTCTCAAAGAATTTGTGTTGGGTTTATCGTGCTCTCACATCTTTGTGTGTCCGTGGTCACCCTTTCGCAGATATTAGAAAATATTTGGTGTTCGTCGCCTCGTGTTTGAACGGACAATGAAAATTTTCCTTCCTGCCTCTGGATATAACAAAGAAACTCTTATTTGACGACTCCTCCCCGATACCTGAATTGTTGCATTGCCTGTGATGGCTGTACCTAAAATCGAAAGAGCTTGATAAAATATAAAACTCAAATTACTTAAAAATTTAAGCCCAGTAACTTTTAATTAGATGAACTAAAAATAATGAGTTTGTGATTATTTAACTGTCCCACGTCTCCATCTGCGTGGTAAACGGCGACACAAGTATATGAGTAGCACTTACAAATGTAGTAGTAGGATTAGAATAAATATTGTATTTTTATAATCGTAAGTGTTTTGTCGCCATTGGATTATCTACTTACACATCCTACGTAATTTCGAAGCATGGATTATTTTACAGGTACTCCAGCTGCATAAGTAATATTTAAAATATAAAAAATACGACCAGCCTTCAGAGTAACATTTGGTTTGCAACTTTGCTCGAAATTTAAAGTGGATTCACAGTTATTTGAGAAAGTATATCGAAGTGAAAAATAAATAAAATCTTAAGGTAAGGGAACTTTCATATACAGGGTGTTTCTAAATTGTTTGCCATAATTGATAGTGGAGCTTCAGGACGTTAATATTAATCTAAAATGTGGCATGAACGTAGGTTGCCGAGGATAACATTAAGAAGGGTTTCCGGACATGTGTTCGTTCGACATTCTTGACTCGTATCGACTTCGTGTAGCTCTCCTATTATGAATGACGAATAATTTAGAAATTTATTCACGCTGACCTGTGTAGACGTCATTACACATTTCATTCAGTAGGTAATTTCACACTTTTTTGATAGATAAAGTATTTATTTGGACAACGAAGTAGCCTAATATTAAGTTCGCGTGATGCAGGTATAAAGCATTTTATCATCATCCAAAATGACGAAACGTACTCCTGATGTCGCCATCGTGTGTCGAGTTTATGGCATGACCGACGGACCGAGGCGTATCGTGTGGGAAGTTATTGTTATGAACATCATTCTGTTATGTTTGTTTAATTGGGATTCTATCTGGATTTTGGGACTTATATGTCGTAAAATTTATAAGCTTAGGTTCGATATAGCAACCAAGACATAACCGCGGAATATTATTCAGATCAGTTTAGAGAGAGACCCTCTGTATATCAAACCAGTGAGATTACACGTACGTTTTAATTACCCTGCTCTAAGCGTCGTGCGAGTATTGAATAAACTACACTGCGATTTGTAAAATAGTGAAGAACGCGTTTGGAAAACACTAATTTGCGTTTGTAGTACGTGGACACTTGATATTTATGGCCACAAGTTAAAAATTGTAGTAAATTAGGCGAAATCAAAACATGACGCTAATTCAAAAATTAAATTATGATTTTACTGAAATCCGAATGTGATGATGAATTGTTTATAGCAGATATCTAATATACAAAAAAATTTATATAATTCAAAATTTTACGATTTGCATTGAACCCAGTTATATGTAACTTTGATAGGTTTTTTTTACACATTTGGGAAATTTGTTGCCGAACTAACAATCTGTCATCGTCGTGTACGACGCATTGGAAAGTGTTTGTTATTAAAAACTTTTTACTTTCGTAGTGTTTTTGTGTTAGTGTAGAGAGACGTCGTCTCACTGAGAGTTTTCTCTCCGAGTTACACCACTGAGAGACACTGTCTACCGGATTAGTAAGCAGTTTTAAGAAACAGAAAGTTTGTGTTAAACATACGAAGTTCGTGATATTTGGGGGGCATCACATGGAAAATGTTTTATTGTAACAAAAACATTTCAGAAGTTTGATACAGTTACGTTCAACAACACAGGAGTTTACAAATTTTAAAGTGTCAGATGGTTAAAACACATCGTACATTTTGAATACAAAAGTTCAAACAGATTATGAGACATTTACCATATCGTAAAGTACAGGTTTTATTATGAGATTTTAAGAAAGTTGAAATTTAACGAAATATACGAAGTTAAAATGGCTGTTTTATTTTATTTATAGATGTAATTTTAATAATTCTTATGAATTGAGGTCGTCACGCTATAGAAAATTAGGGTATAATAGTTGAACTTCCTTCGAAGTTCCAGGTGCGTCGTGATCGCAGACTTTGCACTGTGGAGAGACAGTGTGTCGTGTAACTTGTGTTTGGACAGAGAAAATTCAATTTCCATTCCCACTGATTCACAGACGAGACAAGCTCGCTTCACAGACATCTAGGGAATTAAAACTGAACTGCAGGCCCGATTTGTATCTCTGCTAGTTCGTGTTTTACAGCGAACTCAAATCGGTTTTGCTTAATGTAATTCTGTGTCACTCAGAATTCACTTGGTGCGGAATCTGCGATAAGGGAAATACAGAACGTCGATTTATAACATAGAAGGCGGTGACGCGAATTAATGTTTTGTGGCAGTAATAAAAAAGAATGTTCCAGCTGTTACAAGTAACTGATTAATTGTATAAGAATTAAACCTTTGTATCATTTTATTCGCAAATGTTTAACCTCAGAATAAAAACAAAGCTTGGATTAATATTCAGAGACAGCATTGCGTCTACTTCTGTCTGAGAGTACAGTCGCGTGTTTATTCTCAGAGAAATTTCAATTGATGTGGAATATGCTATTATTAGAGCCACGGTCGTCTAGCGGTTAGAACGCTGGCCTTGTAATCCTGGGGTCTCGGGTTCCATTCCCGGCGGTGCAAGGCCGTGGTCTAGGCAACACGGAGTTTTCCTCCGTGGCATCCCAATAATTACTCCATTCACACACAGAAGAAGGCAATGGCAAACCACTTCTGGATCATCTGCCAAGAACGTGTATGAACAGGTCCCAGTCCGAGAAAAGGATGGAAGGATTCTGTTCATATGGACCTGTCGTCAGCCAGAACACTAAATAATAATAAGATGAGGTGGTCTAGCGGTTAGAACGCTGGCCTTGTAATCCTGGGGTCTCGGGTTCGATTCCCGGCGGTGGCGGAATTTATAACTTGTGTTGGGCAAGGCCGTGGTCTAGGCAACACGGAGTTTTCCTCCGTGGCATCTCAACAATTACTCCATTCACACACAGAAGAAGGCAATGGCAAATCACTTCTGGATCATCTGCCAAGAACTTATATGAACAGGTCCCAGTCCGAGAAAAGGATGGAAGGATCTTGTTCATATGGACCTGTCGTCAGACAGAACACTAAATAATAATAAGATGAGGTGGTCTAGGCAACACGGAGTTTTCGTCCGTGGCATCCCAACAATTACTCCATTTACACACAGAAGAAGGCAATGGCAAACCCCTTCTGGATCATCTGCCAAGAACGTATATGAACAGGTCCCAGTCCGAGAAAAGGATGGAAGGATCCTGTTCATATGGACCTGTCGTCAGACAGAACAATAAATAAATAACGTTATTATTATGTTTTCATTTAGATAATTTCTTGAATCATGTGTTCATATTATTGGGTTACAGATAACATAACATAATTCATGTAGACATAATAAAAACCACGGATGAACTACTTGGTCGAGGATTCGTAGAAGCTTAATTGCTTAAGACGTTCCTGGCCTTAAGGTTCATTACCGTTGACACAATTTCGAGCCAACAGTCGCTATCGCTGTCTTAAAGTATTTCTTTATCATTTATTTTAATATTTTGTCTAGGTCTACCAGGTTGTCTCTTTCCGTCACATTTCTGTAACGCTTAACAAATTTTCCGGCCTGTGCATTGTACTTCTGAAGAGAAAGGTCCTTATTTGACAAACATATCGTCTTTAAGATTTCAGTATTTTTCGTGTGACTTTGCAGTTGTCGAGATGAAATCGTATTTTAACCTGGTTTCGTCAAAACAACCAACGAGATCGAAAATTTTTTGTGGCGATTTAAAAACGTCAAGTGTTCATTCAAGCCATTTCTATAAAACTTCAGCTCATGGCCCACGTGAGTTTCTGCTCAGTCGCCTGTACCCCGGAATGTGACAGGTGATGGGCGTTGTCTGACGAGGCTTTGATAATCGAAGCGTCGATGTAGTCATTCGATATTTTGTGTTTTCTCGATCACGCCAGCAAGGAACTGCGTACACATAGGAATGTATGAAAGACTATTACATGGTCTATTGATTTGTTGTTCATTTAACGACACTATCAGTAGCTCAGACTGCCATAGGAGTCAAATTGTAGGATTATTAATTAATAATGAATTGTAGGGGCTAATATAAGCAAGCGATCTTTGCATAATTTAAGGTAGTAATACGACATTTGCCTCAGCCGTTGTAACTGATCTTTGAGCAGAGATTTTAGTGCGAGCCTCTGGAAGTACGAAGCAAGAATTCTAACCAGATCGCGATGTTCAAGTATTTTAGTTTGGTGGAATTGATGTCTCACGAAGTAGAACTGTTGAGCAGTGAAGGTACACTAGGAGTTTAAAGTAGCGGGAACTGATTCATGCTGACAGATTGTTTCTTTGTGGGCTACGAAGAGGCAGGAACAGAGTTAATAAGAGTTAACATTGTCATAGGTTAAGGTTAGGCAGAAAGAATTTTCGATTACGAAAAGAAAATTGTTTTGGAAGAAAGTCACGTGTACTGGTGAAGACTTGAGGGATGTCTTGTGTCTTCAGATGTTCCCGTCCGGGTTAAGTCTCATGTACAGTAACTCAACAAAATATATAAACGTTTAATCGTAAGTCATGACTTGGGACGTATCACGAGCTGAATTATAGTTTTATTTATGCATAGACGCATATGGAAGCCACGGTGGTCTAGCGGTTAGAACGCTGACCTTGTAATCCTGGGGTCTCGGGTTCGAATTTATAACTTGTGTTGGGCAAGGCCGTGGTCTAGGCAATACGGAGTTTTCCTCCGTGGCATCTCAACAATTACTCCATTCAC